GAAAAAATATAAAAATGTAGATTTCTCTCTGAGTCATTTTGACAAAATACCTTGTGCATAGCAATTTTTGAGCAACTTTAAAAATTTATTAAAAATCAAATTTTGGTCAAAATAAGATTAAATTTTAATGACAAGTACATGTAGATATGCATCAAAGAAAATTATCAGAATTTTCTTGAAGCCATTTTTGACCCCATGGTCATTGACCAAATTTTGATATCAATTGGGCCAGACCAGTTCTTGGCCTTCCTTCAGGACAACTCTCTTTTTTGTGCCTTAATTGTTATTTTTCATCCCTTAATTTTTGTGTTTGTCCTGTAAAACTTTATTAAATTAAATTAAAAAATTAAATTAAATTTCTTTTATATTATCTCATGTGTAAAAGCAGCAAACAATCATAAACATTAATAACAATAATAATACTGACAGTATTATTAATTAATGACGAAATGGTCAATTAATAACAGAAGGAGGAGGGGGAAGGGGAACAAAGAAAGGGAACAATAATATAAGTACATGTACATGTAATAATACGTGCAGCAGTCAAATATACTAAAAATTAATCAGACATAGAGACTTGAGAGAAGAAAAGAAAAGAAGGGGAAAGACAATAAGACAGTGTGCTTATGCTAGTTCAAAGTAGTTCAGTAATTAATTAATAATAGTTTTCTATGGTTATTTTTATTTAATTTTATTGTGTCTTGAAATATTTGTCATGACAACACCAGTTGTGTAAATGCATGATTATTGTCTTGTCATCAATACAATTCATCATTGTCACCACCCACTGAAGTTAGTCATTGTCTTGTTCACTTAGTGTAAGTTATATTTTTATGATGTATCTACTGATATTGCTTTAGGTACACCAGGAGAGTTCACTAACTGTCCTATATCTATTTGTACTAGTGTGGACACCAGATAGTATAAGACACATCACATCTCAACAGCAATAATGGAGATGATTGTATCTTTCCTGTATTTTATGTGGTTGTTTAATCATCTTGATGGTATAGCTAGAAAATAATTAAAGCTATAAGCTCATTTTTTGAATATAGGTACTCCTCAGTTCACTATATGTCCCAGCTCAGTGTGTCTCTCTCAACCAGTTACTTATGAGTGTAACAGTGGATCAAATATTCTTATATGGAGAGTGCTAGATACTAATGGTGGTAGTGTTGGTACTGAGTCTTATACTGATTTTGAAGATGATGTTGGTGCTACTGGTTCTATTGGTAGTCAGTTTGATACTGTCTTGACTGTTGATGGATCTTCTCTTGTTTCTAATATAACATTCAATTCTACTTTAAATATAAATAATTATATTGTCCAATGTGGAGATGCTAGTGGTACTTTAATGAACTGTTCTATAGTAATAGCAGGTATGTCATCCACTGTACTATTTCAACTTGTAGCCATTATTTCTTTAAAGATATTCCAGTTGCTCCTATTCCTGGTAGTATCACCTTTTATTCTGACAGGCTCCACTTCTCCTGGTCCCCATCAACCAGTCCTTGTGTATCTCATTACAATGTTAATGTTACTAGTATTGAATGCACTATCAATACTACTGACACTAGTCTGAGTTTACCAGTACCTTCAACTAATGATACAGAATATTATATTAGTGTAGTAGCTGTTGACACTGGTGGTAGATATATGGATCCTGTTGGTGAAAGAACATTTGTAGCAGATGGTAAGTAGATTAATGTTGGTAGATTTATCATCAAATATTTAATAATAGTCCCTGAATTTGTAACTGACTTAACATTAAGTCAGACTGGTCTCACTATTGATGTATCATGGAATGAAGGGAATAAAATAATTAATATTATTATTAGCATTATATTTCTTTGTAGCCAGCTACTTCTATGTATCTCCCTGTATTGTACTATACATTACATCATAATGTTCTTGATTCTCATACTAATGTAACAGTATCAACTCCTGGACCAGCCAGACTAACATACAGTGTACCTAATGCTACAGTAGGAATAGCTGCTGTTAATATATTAGGAATCGGTCCTACTGCATCAGGCATAATAAGTTAGTCACAAACTCAGTATCCTAATTACTGCTACTTGCAGGTATACATGCTTCTACTCTCATAACAACAGTTACAGATACCACTACTTTAATAAGGACTCGTGGTAAGCTATTATTGCCATTATTTCATTGAGTACATACCACAATCCATATTAGTTGATTGTTATTGCTTCATTCATTTTTAATAGTGGCTATCTCATCAACAAGAATAACTTCACCTACTCCCACTAGTACATGTACCCCTTCAGCTTGCACTGAGCAAAGTAAGCAGCTAACATGAGACTACATGATTGTACTATTGTTTATAGGCAGTGATACTGTTAGTGCATTAGTTATCAGTTTCCCTATCACTGTTATACTGTCAGTAATAATATCATCAGTTTTATCTTCAATCATCACATATTGCTGTTGTGTATCAAGATCAGTAAAGTCTTACAGTGTTACTAATCCATCAACAGCAGCTGCTGATTATGAGATACCAATGAAAACCAGTTCCCTTGAGATGAAGGATAATATGGCGTATGGTCATGTTAGTGTTGGTAATAGATCTACCAGTAGAACAACACAAACAGTTTATGAAACTGTTCAATCATAAACTACAGCTACTACTAATGGAATTGTTTTTGTTTATGCATAGATGCATGATAGTTATTTCTTTCATAACTTTGTGTTTTTCCTAATTTGAAAATGACAATATTATGTCCCCAGTTATCTAAACAAATACAACATGAATTTCATTGACATTGCTTCATCATCAATTCATCATTGTCACCACCCACTGAAGTTAGTTTACTTGTTTAAGTGTAAGTTATATTTTATAATCAAGTGCCTATTCATATTGCTTTAGGTACACCAGGAGAGCTCACTAACTGTCCTATATCTTTTTGTACTAGTGTGGACACTAGACAGTATAAGACCCATCATATCTCAACAGCAATAATGAAGATGATTGTATCTTTTATGTTGTTATTTAACTATCTTGATGGTAATAGCTAGGAAATAATTATTAGCTCATTTTTGAATATAGGTACTCCTCAGTTCACCGATTGTCCCAGTTCATTGTGTCTCTCTCAGTCAGTTAGTTATGAATGTAGTGTAAATACAACTGGTGGAGCTGATACTTTAAGATGGAGAGTATTGGATGATAATTATAATCAAATTACTGGTGCTGTTGCATATAATATATACCAAACATTACCAGCAATGTCAGCAATTGGTAGTGACTTCATTGCTAACCTGATTAATAGTTCTGGTCCTATTGTCTCTAATGTATCATTTACTACATCAATAAGTATCAGTAATTATACTGTTGAATGTGAAGCACTTGGTATTACTGGTAGCTATACACCAGTTACCTGTCCTATATTAATAGCAGGTAAAATATTTTATTTAATCAGTAGAATCAATTCACTCTTGGTAGAATCTAACAGTCTTTCTTTCTCCCTCTTAAAGATATTCCAGCTGCCCCTGTTCCTAATGATCTTAACTTCACCTCTGATACTCTTAACTTCTCCTGGTCCCCATCAGCCAGTCCTTGTTTATCTCATTACAGTGTTAATGTTACTAGTATTGAATGCACTATCAGTACTACTGATACTAGTCTGAGTTTACCAGTACCTTCAACTAATGATACAGAATATTCTATTAGTGTAGTAGCTGTTGATACTGGTGGTAGATATATAGATCAAGAAGGAAAAAAATTTATACCTGATGGTAAGTGATGTTTACTTGCATGACTATATAAGTTGACTTGCTATTGTTTGAAATAGTTCCACCAGCTGTTATTAGTTTTGCAGTCAGTCAAACCTATCCTGATGATGAGGATGATGTTAATATTACTGTATCATGGAATAAAGTAAAGTATATAGATGGCACAATAATTAATGTAACCAATATAATCTTATTTAGCCACCTTCCTCTTCTTGTCCTAATGTATCAAGTTATATAATATATCATGACGTTCCTGATCCTGATACTATCATAACAATACCAGCTCCTACCACTACATACAATATACCTGGTGCTACAGTAGGATCAGTATATACTGTTGGAGTGGCTGCTGTTAATGTATTGGGGACTGGTGATACCACATCAACTACAATAAGTTAGTTATTGTTGATATTTAAGATATTGGATATGTTGAAGTTTTATTTAATTTTACTTCTCTTTCAGGCATCCTTGGTACCACTGTTACTCCTACCTCTTCAAATATGATTGTGTCATCTTCAGCTATGACAGTTACACCCTCTCCTACAAGTATGAATTAATAACCATTGAATACATTTATGTCCCTAATGATCGAGCTAATGATATACCTACAGGTCTGTCCAGTAGCTCTGTAGGAGTAACAGTAACACCAAGCACATCATCAACACCAACAGACAGCACTAGATCTAGTATACGATAATTACTGTCATCATTATTTTTTAAATTTAGCTACAGGTGGATTAAACAATACAGTGTACATTGGTATAGGAGCTGGTGCAGCAGTGATTGTCATTATTATACTAATAGTAGTCATTATTGTTGGTTATCTGGTCTGGCGTAAACCTTGGAAAGGACGGAAAGGTCAGCACTATTCACTTATTTAAAGTACAGCTGCAATGTCTCATTATTTCTATAGAAAACACTACCACCAATACAGTAATATATGATACACCAACAGATACAGTACAGGTGGTTCCTAATGTACCAGTTAGTATGAATACAGCTTATGGAACAGCCACTGGTACTAGAGGAGTAGTACATACTTCAGATAATGTTGCTTATGGTCAAGTGAGTGCTACTAGTAACACTGGAGCAAGGCAACCTGATACTGTTGTATATGAAGCAGTTCAATAATGGAATGTGTATGTTATGTATAGCAACATGTTCTTACTTTATCAATTTTTAATTATTGTTTTGAAAACTGTACAACTGTAGACCAATTGTTTTCATTTCCTTATTGTTAAATTAGTTTTTATAGTTAGAAAAATCAATACTATAAATATAATAGAATTCTCTCAAAGCCATTTTTGATGAAATACCCAGTAATCTATATATGGTCTTTTGCCCAATTTTTAAGCAACTTTAAAAATCCAAATTTCATTGAAATCATCTCAAATTTGATAAATAACAAAAAATTTATATCTATCAGAAAAAATTATTAAAATATAGATTTCTTTCAGAGCCATTTTTTGAAAAAATTTGGCCCACAACCAAAAACTATATTTTTGGCCAAATTGGAATAACTTTAATTTTTTTAAAAATTCAAATGTGATCAAAATCAGTTCAAACTTAATATACAACATAAGGACATGCATATCTATTTTTTTTAAATACTAGAATGCAGAATTTATGGAGCCATTTTTGATGAAATTTGGCCAATGACCAAAGACTATACCTTGGGTTTTTGACCAAATATTTGAGTAGCTTTAAAAATTCATAAAAATCTAATTTTGATCGGAATTAGCTGAAATTTGATATATAAAACGAGGACATGTATATCTATAAAAAAAAACTATACAATTTAGATTTCTCTTGGAGCCATTCATGATCAAAGGCTATTATAGCCTAGAAAATTTTGGAGTAATTTTTTAAATTATAAAAAAATCCAATTGTGAATTGTACTGCAATATTCATGACTGCAATAAGTACACATATTGTAACAGGTGATGATTATATTAAATATAATAAATATGTAAATTTTTACAATGTTACTATGTTACTAATCAATCAACAGCAGAGTTTTTATTTAAGTGCTGTGGTGTTTGAAAATGACAGTAGAGCATAATTTTTTCTATAATGCCAATTTTTATTTAATTTTGTTGTGGCGTGAAAAATTTGTCAAGACAAACACCATTTGTGTAAACAGACCAGTGGCGGGTCTAGGGGGGGCCTGGGGGGGCCATGGCCCCCCCCAAAATTTTTGTGGTGAAGTATAAAATTAGTTTTATCTATGTAAACTGTGAAACAGCTGCAGTGCTTGACTGTGTAAACAATCTGTAAACCACAAAGGAGCTCATTTAAGAGGCCTAATCTTCTAAATTTTGACTTTCCAAATGAAATCCTGCAAGCCTGGTTGACCGCACCCACTAATTATCCCACCCATATCATTAAGGCCCCCCCAGAAATTCAATCCTAGAACCGCCACTGAAACAGACACAGCATGAATTCCATTGACATTGCATTATCATCAATTCATCATCATTGTCACCACCCACTGAAGTTAGTCATTGTCTTGTTTACTTGTTTCAGTGTAAGTTATATTTTTATGATGAAGTATCTATTCATATTGTTTTAGGTACACCAGGAGAGTTCACTAACTGCCCTATATCTTTTTGTACTAGTAGGGACACTAGACAGTATAAGACCCATCATATCTCAACAGCAATAATGAGGATTATTGTATCTTTCCTGTCTTTTATGTTGTTATTTAATTATCTTAATGGTAAATTCATAATAGCTAGAGCTATAAGCTCATTTTTAAAATAGGTACTCCTCAGTTCACTACATGTCCTAGTTCAGTGTGTCTCTCTCAACCAGTTACTTATGAGTGTAACAGTGGAGCAACTACTCTTATATGGCTAGTATTAGATACTAATGGTGATAGGGTTGGTAATCCTGTAATTTTTACTGAGTTTGCAAATAATGTTGGTGATACTGATTCTATTGGTGGTCAGTTCAATACTGTCTTGATTAATGATACCAATCCACTTGGTGCTAATATAACATTCACTCCTACTTTAAGCATGAATAATTATACTGTCCAATGTGGAGATGGTAGTGTTGATAATATAGTGAACTGTTCTATAGGGATATCAGGTAGACTACATGTATGTAATGTTGTAACAGTAAAATTTTAAATTTCTAATTTTTACAGATATTCCATCTGTTCCTATTCCTGGTAGTATCACATTTTATTCTGACAGGCTCCACTTCTCCTGGTCCCCATCAGCCAGTACTTGTTTATCTCATTACAGTGTTAATGTTACTAGTATTGAATACACTATCAGTACTACTGATACTAGTCTGAGTTTACCAGTACCTTCAACTAATGATACAGAATATTCTATTAGTGTAGTAGCTGTTGATACTGGGGGTAGATATATGGATCCTGTTGGTGAAGAAACATTTGTAGCAGATGGTAAGCATAGATTAATGATGATAGATTTATTGCTAAATATTGATTTTATCAATAGTCCCTGAATTTGTAACTGACTTAACATTAAGTCAAACTGGTCTCAGTATTAATGTATCATGGAATGAAGTGAATTAAATAATTAATAATATTATCATAATTTTTCTTTGTAGCCAGCTACCCCTATGTACCTCCCTGTATTATACTATACATTACATCATAATGTTCTTGATTCTCATTCTAATATAACAGTATCAGCTCCTACCATTACATACAATGTACCTGATGCTACTGTTGGAATAGCTGCTGTTAATGCATTAGGAGTTGGTCCTACTGCATCAGGCATAATAAGTTAGTCACAAACTCAGTATCCTAATTACTCCTACTTGCAGGTATACATGCTTCTACTCTCATAACAACAGTTACAGATACCACTACTTTAATAAGGACTGATGGTAAGCTATTATTGCCATTATTTCATTGAGTACATACCACAATCCATATTAGTTGATTGTTATTGCTTCATTCATTTTTCATAGTGGCTATCTCATCAACAAGAATAACTTCACCTACTCCCACTAGTACATGTGCTCCTTCAGCTTGCACTGAGCAAAGTAAGCAGTTAACATGATTACATGATTATACTATTGTTTATAGGCAGTGATACTGTTAGTGCATTAGCTATCAGTTTCCCTATCACTGTTATACTGTCAGTAATAATATCATCAGTTTTATCTTCAATCATCACTTATTGCTGTTGTGTATCAAGATCAGTAAAGTCTTACAGTGTTACTAATCCATCAACAGCAGCTGCTGATTATGAGATACCAATGAAAACCAGTTCCCTTGAGATGAAGGATAATATGGCGTATGGTCATGTTAGTGTTGGTAATAGATCTACCAGTGGAACAACACCAGCAGTTTATGAAACTGTTCAGTCATAAACTATAACTACTACTAATGGAATTGTTTTTGTTTATGCATAGATGCACGATAGTTATTCCTTTCATAATTTTGTGTTTTTCCTAATTTGAAAATGACAATATTATGTCCCCAGTTATCTAAACAAATACAACATGAATTTCATTGACATTGCTTTATCATCAATTCATCATTGTCACCACCCACTGAAGTTAGTCATTGTCTTGTTTGCTTGTTTAAGTGTAAGTTATATTTTTATAATCAAGTGCCTATCCATATTGTTTTAGGTACACCAGGAGAGTTCACTAACTGTCCTATATCTTTTTGTACTAGTGTGAACACTAGACAGTATAAGACACATCACATCTCAACAGTAATAATGGAGATAATTCTATCTTTCCTGTCTTTTATGTTGTTATTTAATCATCTTGATGGTAATAGCTAGGAAATGATTAAAGCTATGAGCTCATTTTTTAAATATAGGTACTCCTCAGTTCACTACATGTCCCAGTTCAGTGTGTCTCTCTCAACCAGTTACTTATGAGTGTAACAGTGGAGCAGATACTCTTGCATGGATAGTACTAGATACTAATGGTGATAGGGTTGGTAGTCCTGTAGCTTATACTGTGTTTAATAATGTTGGTGATACTGGTTCTATTGGTGGTCAGTTTATTACTGTCTTGACTGTTGGTGGTTCTTCTCTTGTTTCTAATATAACATTCACTCCTACTTTAAATATGAATAATTATACTGTCCAATGTGGAGCTGTTGGTACATTAGTGAACTGTTCTATAGTAATAGCAAGTATGTCATCTGCTGTACTATTTTAACTTGTAGCTATTTCTTTACAGATATTCCATCTGCTCCTATTCCTAGTAGTATCACATTTTATTCTGACAGTCTTACCTTCCCCTGGTCCCCATCAAACAGTTCTTGTTTATCTCATTACAATGTTAATGTTACTAGTATTGAATACACTATAAGTACTAATGATACTAGTCTGAGTTTACCAGTACCTTCAACTAATGATACAGAACATTCTATTAGTGTAGTAGCTGTTGATACTGGTGGTAGATATATGGATCCTGTTGATCAAAGGACATTTGTAGCTGATGGTAAGCAGACACTTATTGATTAACTCATTGTTATATAAATATTTATTAATAGTCCCTGAATTTGTAACTAATATACAATTAAATCAGACTGATCTTAGCATTGATGTGTCATGGGAAGAAGTAAAGAAAATTATTAACCAATATTTTATGCTTTTTTTGTAGCCACCTGCCCTTATGTTTCTCCCTGTATTGAGTTACATAATATATCCTAATGTCACTGATCTTAATAATAATATAACAATACCAGCTCCTACCACTACATACAATATACCTGATGCTACACTAGGATCAGTATATACTGTTGGAGTGGCTGCTAGCAATGTATTAGGAATAGATACTACTGATTTTGCATCAGCTACAATAAGTTAGTTATTGTTGATTATTATAATATAAATAAATATATTTTAAATACACTTTAGTGATAATTTCAACTGCAATGACTGAAATGTTTTCATCTACTATATCATTTCCTGCTATATCTACTTCTTCCCTCACTTCTGCAGGCACTGTTAGTAATTCTGTTCCTTCCGCTACAAGTAGTACATTAATGAGTACAACAATAATGTCACCTTCTAGTAGCAATAATGTACCTGGTAAGCTTATAATACTTTACATTATAATATTAATAATAGTTACAAGTATGAGCAAAGCAACACAATTCACATTAACAACAACTGCACCAACTAACAGTCCTAGCCTATATGCTATAATCAATTTTGCAATGTTGTTATTTTTTAAAATTTAGCTACAGGTGGGTCAAACAGTACAGTGTACATTGGTATAGGAGCTGGTGTAGCACTGATTGCCATTGTTATACTAATACTCATTATTGTTGGTTGTATGGTCTGGCGTAAACCTTGGAAAAGAGACAAAGGTCAGTGCTACTCACTTATGTAAAGTACAGCTGCAATGTCTCATTATTTCTATAGAAAACACTACCACCAATACAGTAATATATGATACACCAACAGATACAGTACAGGCGGTTCCTAATGTACCAGTTAGTATGAATACAGCTTATGGAACAGCCACTGGTAGTAGAGGAGTAGTACGTACTTCAGATAATGTTGCTTATGGTCATGTGAGTGCTACTAGTAACACTGGAGCAAGGCAACCTGATACTGTTGTATATGAAGCAGTTCAATAATGGAATGTGTTTGTTATGTATAGTGACATGTTCTTACTTTATCAATTTTTATTATTGTTTTGAAAACTGTAGAAATACAGATCAATTGTTTTCATATCCTTATTTTTAAATTAGCTATGCTATAAACATAATAAAAATAAAAAGCCATTTTTCATGAAATAACCAGTACTATTATAGCCCGTGGTTTTTGGTCTGATTTTTGAGCAAATTAAAAAATTTGTAAAAAAATCTAGTATTAATCAAAATCAGCTCAAACATGATAAATGACATTATATCTATAAGAAAAATATAAAAATAGAATTTTTTGGAGCCATTTTTTACAAATACCCTGTACTGTACTCCAGGTCTTCTGGGGCAAATTTAAAATTTATAAATTTTGATCAAAATAAAATCAAAATTTTACAAAACATAAGAACATGTATATGTATCAGAAAAATTATAAGAATTCTCTTGAGGCCCATTTAATACAATGTCATGGTCATTGAAAAAATTTTGATATCAATTCCTATTATTACCACCCCATCATGTTATGAATGTAAAGCAGCAAACAATTATGAACATTAATAACAATAATAATACTCACAATCTAATATTAATTAATGACCAAACAGTCAATTAATATAACAGAAAGAGAAATAGAGAGAGAGATGATATTATGATAATATCATACCATATCAAGAGTGCGACTGATATGTGGTACATATGGTGTTTGTAGTGTCAGTGCAGTGTCTGTAGTGTCAGTGGTGTCAGTGGTGTTTTGTATTTGGTGTCAGTAGCATATGCATAAAGTTACAACAACAATGTGCATTGGAAACACAGTCATATAAGCTAGGGAATAGCTCAATCAATGGTTGCAATAACAACAAGCACATACTCATAGTAGCGTGATATTAAAATCAGCTCATTTTAAGGTGACATAACCCACCCAAGCAAAAATCGTCAAAGTTGATCCTAACCTTTACTTTTTCATTTGATACAAGATGGCAGCCCTTCTCCTTAAATCATGTCTTCTTCTCTTAGTGGCCCAATCTCTTTCATTGTGTGTCGTTGAGGAAGGAACAGACTCCGCTTGTACTAATTCATCTTTACTGCTTGTATCTAGAAGCCAAATAAAGGAAAATAATGGATATTCAATGATAGTTAGCCAACTACCCAACATCACTACAAATTGTACAACTACCAGCAACTTTAAAAACCTTGATGCATACATTGGACTGGCCAAACTGAAGGTAGAGTTCCTTGATACAGAAAATACAACAGCAAAGGTATGATGACTAATTAACTATACTAGCAAATAAGGTGACCTGATTTTATCTGTTTTTAGATAACTGTCCCAGGTAACATTGGTAGCGGTCAACACCCCATTTCTTTACTATACTCGACTAAAGACCCAAACTGCTGCAAGGTAGAAGCAAAATTGGATCATGAGATAACACTGAGAGTCATTGGTTAGGCTATATGCATGCATACAAGTTAATTAGTCACTCACATTTGCATAGAGTGACACAAAATTTCAAGGGTATATAATTTCATGTTTTTCATAAAAGTTCTTAAATTTTTTAATTTTAAAAAGATTACATTTTGTGTTTTCACACGTCCATATGCACATATGCATTAAATTCATATGCTGTATATATGCAGTGAATACTTTCAAGGTATTAATTTTTATGAGTAAAAAATCAGCCACAAAATCTACAAAATTAAATATCCCATGAAATTTTTTATGGCATTTAAATAAGTTGAGGCTTGCACATAAAAACTTTTTTATATACCAAAATAAAGCCTCAACTATTAAGTATGTGTTCTTCCATTTCAGATGATCCTTCTGTACATCATGTGAGCACTGATCCTGAAATTTTACAGTGTAAACTTCATCTAAATATCTCTGACATATGGACAGAATTTGCATTGAACAATGTTGCACTCGGGTACTGTGGGCAATTTACTAGTCAAGTGGAACACAAAAATGATGTCTCTATCTATTATGATGATGTCTGCACTTTAAAAATCAATAAGTTTAAAGAATATAACGAAGGGAATTACTCATGCTCGGTGATAGTTCCTAATCCTGATGGCGTTGGTTTCAAAAAATTCAACTCAACATCAATACACCTTAAGCATGATAATACTGCAAATACACTTGCAATTGGCTTTGGTATTGGTGTTCCTTTGTCTTTTATAATTTTATTTGCTGTCATGATATTTTGCTGCATTTTTAGGGATAGAATCAAGGATCGCTGTGCTAAAATCATCAGATGCTATTCGGGAGAAAGGCTAAATAGTGATTAACAGCAGACCATCTAGATTTACACAATTTTAAAGATTAGTTAGCTGCTTACCTATTATTGTTTAAACTTAGAAGCAAACCATTATTAGTATTAACAATAAATTATTGTCTTTTTTGATAAATAAGTTTTATTTTAGTGATTAACAAGCTGACCAGGCACTGCAATTATCTACAGTCATCATTGGTATCCAAACTCAACAGTAAACACCCAAAATTAATTTATCATTTAGCATAGCCAGGCTCCTCACCTCAGACTAAAAATGAAAAATCTATTAAAGCAATTTTTGACAAAATACCATGGTCTTTGGCCGAGCAACTTTAAAATTATAAAAAAACAATTTTGATTGGAATCAGCTCAAACTTGACATACAAAAATTATTAAAATTTTGATTTCTCTTGGTGCTATTTTAAAATTTACCAAATAATCAAAGGCTATAGCCTTGAGTCTTTGGCCAAATTTTGGAGTAGCTTTAAAAATTAGTAAAAAGTTCGATTTTGATCAGAATCACCTTAAACTTGATATACAATATAAAGACATGTATATCTATCAGAAAAAAATATAAAAATGTAGATTTATTTTTGAGCCATTTTGATATCAATTCTTATTATATTACCTTATCATGTTATGAATGTAAAGGCAGCAAACAATCATGAACATTAATAACAATAATAATAATACTCACAACCTAATATTAATTAATGACCAAACAGTCAATTAATAACAGACATTTGAGAGAAGAGAAAGAAAGAACACTAGTTCAAAGTACCTAATTAATAATAGTTTCAATGGTATAAAAAAATTTGCTGCTGCACTTCTGGACACGCTCTGTAAAAAAGAAGGAAATTCAGAATATACAGTGATGAATACATAACAGTATACTGTAATCGCTAACGATTGTAAAAGTTATTTTTTGTTCTTAAAATAATAATAAACTACTACTAATAGTTATTGGCATCATAATTATGTGCTTCATTTAATTAAATAGTACAATAATACACATAGATCTAGTTTATCACTGTACTGCAAACGTCTATACAGTAATAAAATTAGCTAAGTAAACAATGTTAAGATCTAATCTACAGCATTTTTTCATCACCATGCAGTTCAGTTCACCACTGTTACCACCCACAACAAAATGAAGCTTTTCCTGACTGTCATGTTTTTGTCTTGTTCACTAGTGAAGTGTAAGTTTATTTCATAAAGTCTTTATAGTATGCTATATTTAGGCACTCCTGAGTTTAACTGTCCTACAAGTCCTTTATGTATTAATGAAACAGTTACTTACCAGTGTAGGGTGGACACAACTGGTTCAGCTAATACTTTACAATGGAGAGTATTGAATACTACTGGTGGTATACTTGGTGATACTTCGTATGCTTCATCAGCTAGTGAGGGAAGTATGGGATCGATTGGAACTCAATTCACTACTAACCTAACTTCTACTAGTGGTGCTATTGTTTCTGACATAACATTCACTGCTACAATGGATATCAATAATTATACTGTCCAATGTAGAGCACTTGATACTAACACTCCTGCACTGGTGGGAACTGATATGTGTTCTATAATACTGATAGAAGGTATGTAATAAGTGACAAAAGCTAAAGTCAGCTTTTTAGTCAATTCTAGGTATATTACCTGCTCCTATTCCAAATGAATTAATGATTGATCTTAACTCTTTTACCTTCTCCTGGTCCCCATCAACAAGTCCTTGTTTATCTCATTACAATGTTAATGTTACTAGTATTGAATACACTATCAGTACTACTGATACTAGTCTGAGTTTACCAGTACCTTCAACTAATGATACAGAATATTCTATTAGTGTAGTAGCTGTTGATACTGGTGGTAGATATATGAGCTCTAAAGAAATGAGAAAATTTATACCTGATGGTAAGAGATATAGATAACTTACATGTGCTTTAAAGATTGTAGAGTGGCTTAATCATGAACACTAAACATTGTGATTTTAACTCCCAATAAATTTTATGAATAGCTGTTTATTGCTTACGTTATATTAATAATAATTATTTAATAGTATAGTACCTGTAATTAAAGTCACTTTAAGATTATTAATTCTATAGTTTTTAATTATTATTTTAAAATAGTTCCACAAAGTGTTACTAACTTTGCAGTAAATCAGACTTATCCTGATCATGATGATGATACCGCTGTTAATATTACTGTATCATGGAATAAAGTAAATTATATAGATGACACAATAATTAATGTAACCAATATAATCTTATTTAGCCACCTTCCTCTTCTCGTCCTAATATATCAAGTTATATAATATATCATAATGTCACTGATCCTGATACTAATATAACAATACCAGCTCCTACCACTACATACAATATACCTGATGCTACAGTAGGATCAGTATATACTGTTGGAGTGGCTGCTGTTAATGTATTAGAAACTGGTCCTATTGTATCAGCTACAATAAGTCAGTTATTGTTAATATTAAATTGTTAAAATTTCATTTCTTACTAACTTCCTTTTCAGGCATTGTTAGTATTGTTGTTTCAACCACAATTATGACAGGATTATCTTCAAGTATGACAGTTACACCCTCTAGTCCAAGTATGTATGTATAACTATTGAATACATACATGTACCTAATGATACTGTTAGGTCCATCCAGCAGCTTTATGGGAGCTACAGTAACACCAATCACATCATCAACACCAACAAATGGCACCAGTATACATAATAGTAATTAATATCATTATTATATTTTTAAAATTCAGGTACAGGTGGATTAGACAGTACAGTATACATTGGTATAGGAGCTGGTGTAGCAGTGATTGTCATTGTTATACTAATAATACTCATTATTGTTGGTTGTTTGATCTGGTATAAACCTTGTAAAGGAGAGAAAGGTCAGTTATTGTAAAGTATAGCAATGTCTTATTATATGATACACCAACAATACAGTGCAGGATCCTTATCTACGAGCTAGTGAGAATATAGCTTATGGAAAAGCCATCAAACCAGTAGAAGTACATACATCAGATAATGTTGCTTATGGTCATGTGAATACTACTAGTAACACTGGAGCAAGGCAACCTGATACTGTTGTATATGAAGCAGTTCAATAATGGAATGTGTTTGTTATGTTTCCTTTACCAATTTTCATTATTGTTTTCAATGTAGACCAATTGTTTTCACTTCTTATTTTTAAAATAGTTAGAAAAATCTATACTATGAATATAATAAAAATAAAGAATTCTCTCGGTTTTTTTGATGAAATACTTAGTACTGTTATAGCTCATGGTCTTTGGCCTGATTTTTGAGCAATTTTAAAAATTCATTAAAAAATCCAATTTTGATTAAAACCAGCTCAAACTTAGTATACAACATAAGGTCATGTATATCTATCAGAAAAAAAAATTAAATGTAGATTTTCACTGAGCTGTTTTTGACAAAATTTAGCCGATGACCAAAGGCTATAACTTTGGGTTTTTGGCTAAATTTTGGAGTATCTTTAAAAATTTGTAAAAAAGCCAATTTTGATCAGAATCAACTCAAACTTGATACACAACATAAGGACATGCATATGTATCAAAAAATTATTTAAAATGTTGATTTCTTTTGGAGCCATTTTTGGCAAAATACCCTGTACATGGCTTTTTGCCCAATTTTTAGCAACTTAAAAAATTTATAGAAAATTCAGTTTTGATCAAAATCAGATCAAATTTTACACAACATAAGAACATGTACATATGCATTAGAGAAAATTATAAGAATTCTCTTGAAGCCATTTTTGACAAAACACAATGCCATGATCATTGACCAAATTTTGATATCAATTCCTATTATTATTACCCTATCATGTTATGAATGTAAAGGCAGCAAACAATTATGAACATTAATAACAATAATACTCACAACCCAATATTAATTAATGAACAAACAGTCAATTAATAATAGGAGGAGGAGGGGGAAGGGGAACAAAAGAAAAGGGAACAATAATATAAGTACATGTACATGTAATAATACGTACAGCAGTTAAAGCTAATAAAAATTAATGAGACACAGACACTTGAGAGAAGAAGAGAAAGAACAAAAAGGGAAAGACAACAAGACAGCATGTTTATACTAGTTCAAAGCAGTTCAGTAACTAATTAATAATAGTTTCCATGGTTACCTCCCCTCACTCAGTGTTTCTCATGATGGCCTCATATGAGCATACTGGACTTGATTACTGGTGTCCTTGGGTCTCTGGTGATGTCCACTAGACGTTGAAGCACTATGATCAAGATCAGCATACTCGGTACCCTCTGGAGGTGGGTTATGAGATGCTGCCGAATTTTGAATGGCAGAATATTCAACTGCTTCATGTGAATGTGAGCTTGCTGGTTTAGGAGGAGCTTGTCTCTTAGAGGAAGATGATTTAGCAGAGTGCTCTACTTCAGCATAATTAACAGCCTTGAGAAGAGAGAGAGAGGGAGGGAGAGAGAGGAAGGAGAAAGATCAATAAATAATATAAAAGCAAGCATTCACACAGACAACAAACATTTGCTAAACCAGCTGCAAATTCATTGTCATAGCAACGTATTGTTCAAAATAATGAGAAGCAACATCATCACAATCACATTATTGCATCATCACATGTACACACACACACATTCATTATGAGGACAATATCATATTATTTGTATATATAATTACAGATAATAATACTATAAAATACTACAAACTTCCCATTAAGTTACAGACAACACAATAAACATAAAATACACTATACAAAAGGTTAAGATAACACCTAACAAAAACAAATCTTAAAATGTATGTACATGTATATGTATACAGGCGCAACTGCTAATGGATTATTTTCAAATTTATTCTCTTGAGAAAAATAACATTAGAAATACAATATCATATCCTAAGGTGACACTTTTAAAATGGAAGTGATAATACACATACATATATTATACATGCATAATGTATATACATAATATATGCACACTTCTTGACAAACAAGATTTGGCCCAATGATTACAGAGAATTCAATACACCATTACATTCATACATGTACATACGTGTACATACACATTGATACATACATATACATATTGTATGTACATATACATACTGTTAATACATAATGTCCCCATCTAAAACTAAACATACTAAACATGAAAGTGAGGGATGACACAGTTAGTCTTATGTCTTCTTTACACAAAAAAGAAGTTGACATACCAACACACACACACACAATATAATGTACACACAAAAGAAAAGAGTAACCCATTCAATACATACACAAACAACACAACACAATAGAGCCAATACTACCAGCCAATATATGTACATGAATGAGTAATTGAGTGTAGCAGTACACATGTACTACTATTCTTTGAATATTAACACATTACATATATGTACATGTACATCCCATACTTATATTGACTCTCTATACTGTTACATTATGAGGGGGAGGCATTAAAAAAATTGACCTTCACTAATCATGTGATTACAGTGTGTGTGTACAGAATGAAGTGTAGTGGAAACAGCACTACCATATATAGGCATTAGGTATAGCTACTATCAGGAAACAGGGCCACACTATAGTAGCTGATGCTAAGGGCAAACACTCACAGAATGAGCCTACACTGTATAAGGTACACATACACATACATATGTACATATGTACATCAGTGGGCATATATGTCACTCCATAATGAACATATGACACTCATATATACACCATTAACATATAACTGATACATAAGTACAATTCATGGACATATATGTATATGCTTCATACACATCATGCTCATGTTCATGGACATGTAACCACATTAACTGGTGACCAATGAATACACATGAAGGACACATGTTGATGTACATTTTCTGTGTGTGACAAATATTGACAATAAGGTACAGGCTCTTTATAAATAATAAATACAGTGTTTAAGCAGTTGTGTATGTGTGTGTGTGTGCATGTATGTGCGTGTGTAAATTTACTTCAACTTTTTGATGAGGAGTAGGAGTAACAGAAGAATCTTTGTCTTTGTTTTTCTTCTTAACATAACATACCATAGCAATCCCCAATATAAGCAAACCTCCAATCATTACAATGATGGCAATTACTATACCAGCAATAGCACCAGCACTAACTATTAATAATCAATAATTAATATATAGAACAGTTACATGTACATACGTTGTGATGGTTCTTGAGTAGGAGGAGTCATAGTAGGAGTTGCACTAATGCCTGAAGTAAGGGAATAATAAGAAGATGTACTAGTTGAAGGTATTACAGGTGGTGGTGGTGTAGCAAGTATAGCTAAAGTACATATTATATATTTATATTTAAAGTAAAATAATAACTAACTTATTGTAGCTGATGTGGTAAGACCAGTTCCTAATGGATTAACAGCAGCTACTCCAACAGTATATTCTGATCCTACTGTAAAACCAGATAGAGTCCTTGAAGAAATATGTTGTGGTACTGTAGTATTTTGAGGTATACCAGAAACATTATATATGATATTATAGAAAAGTGGATCAGGAATTGGTGGCAAATCTCGTGGCTATAATAATTATTATTACTAATCATTATAACAATACAATCAATTACTGGATTCCATGATACAGTGATGTTAACAGTATCATTAATATCAGTTGGATAATCAGTTTGTGTTAACATCAGATTAGCAACATAACCAGGAACTAAAAATAATTAATAACATAAAATATTAATTTATATTACATTATAAGCTACTGCTTACCATTAAATATAATTTGACGTATTATAGACTCACTAGATCTACCACCAGTATCAACAGTTAATACACTAAAGTTATATAGTGTATTATTAGTTGATGATAGAGGTAAGTCCAGGTACGTGTAATTACTACTACTAGCGCTAACATTATAATAATTAATGCCATCCATTGAGCTAGTAGATCTAACAACAAGAACATAGTGAGATAAACAAGGACTCATGGATGAAACCCAGTTATAGCGTATATAGGTAGAGACAGGTGCTTCATAGGCGATAGCACCATTTTCAACAGGAGTTGGAATGCCTAAATAAAAACAAGTAGTAAGAAGTATCTTATTCATGATAGTATGACATACCTGCTATAACTATAGAACAGTTCACTAGTAATGTACCAGCACCTCCACACTGGACAATATAATCACTCATACTTAAAGTAGGAGTGAATGTTATATTAGCACCAAGAGAATTGGTACCATTAATCAAGACAGTATTGAACTGAGTACCAATAGAACCAGTAGTACCAACAGGACTAAACTGAGAATAAGCTACAGGAATACCAACACTGTCACCATTAGCATCTAGTACTATCCATGTAAGACTAGCTGCTCCACTGTTACACTCATAAGTAACTGGTTGAGAGAGACACACTGAACTGGGACATGTAGTGAACTGAGGAGTACCTATAAATCTTAATAAAGATGTGATTTCCACAAGCAAGATCTTACCAGACACTAGGAAAGTTAAATAAGAGAGAAACAGATAAGAGATGAGCTCTGTCTTCATCATGGAAGTTAATTGGGTGAAATGGGCGAGGTTCTTCTAGTCTACTGGGAGGGGCAGGTCGGAGGTGTTTTTGTACTTTTATAAAGGTATTAGATCTAGATATGGTGACATTTACTTATTTTGCTATTTTTGCATCTTTAGCTTTATTTTACTTTGTTGAAGGTAAAATTCAATTCATTTCAAATTTATAAATTCTCATTGCTTTTAGGTACTCCTCAGTTCACTACATGTCCCAGTAACCCAGTGTGTCTCTCTCAACCAGTTACTTATGAGTGTAACAGTGGAGCAGCTAGTCTTACATGGATAGTACTAGATGCTAATGGTGACAGTGTTGGTATTCCTGTAGGTTATTCTCAGTTTAGTCCTGTTGGTACTACTGGTTCTATTGGTACTCAGTTCAATACTGTCTTGATTAATGGTACCAATTCTCTTGGTGCTAATATAACATTCACTCCTACTTTAAGTATGAGTGATTATATTGTCCAATGTGGAGGTGCTGGTACATTACTAGTGAACTGTTCTATAGTAATAGCAGGTATGTCATACTATCATGAATAAGATACTTCTTACTACTTGTTTTTACTTAGGCATTCCAACTCCTGTTGAAAATGGTGCTATCGCCTATGGAGCACCTGTCTCTACCTATATACGTTTTAGCTGGGTTTCATCCATGAGTCCTTGTTTATCTCACTATGTTCTTGTTGTTAGATCTACTAGTTCAATGGATGACATTAATTATTATAATGTTAGCGCTAGTAGTAGTACTTACACGTACCTGGACTTACCTCTACCATCAACTAATAATACACTATATAACTTTAGTGTATTAGCTGTTGATACTGGTGGTAGATCTAGTGAGTCTATAATACGTCAAATTATATTTAATGGTAAGCAGTAGCTTATAATGTAATATAAATTAATATTTTATGTTATTAATTATTTTTAGTTCCTGGTTATGTTGCTAATCTGATGTTAACACAAACTGATTATCCAACTGATATTAATAATACTGTTAACATCACTGTATCATGGAATCTAGTAATTGATTTTATTGTAATAATAATTATTTATTATTATTATTATTATAGCAATCATATTTCTCACCAATTCCTGGTCCACTTTTCTATTATATCATATATAATGTTTCTGATGTACCTGAAAATACTACAGTACCACAGCATATTTCTTCAAGGACTCTATCTGGTTTTACAGTAGGATCAGAATATACTGTTGGAGTAGCTGCTGTTAATCCATTAGGAACTGGTCCTACCACAACAGCTACAATAAGTTAGTTATTATTTTACTTTAAATATAAATATATAATATATACTTTAGCTATACTTGCTACACCACCACCACCTGAAATACCTTCAACTAGTACATCTGTTGCCTCCTTTACTTCAGGCATTAGATCAACTCCAAGTACTACTCAAACTACTCCGAGTGTTTCTGCTACTGAAGGTACCAATAGACTCTTATTACTATAGTCATTCCTATACATTGCTATACATTAGGTTGTAATCCTGTCTCCAGTACTACTGTACCTATTGCAGTTAGTGTATCAGTGACATTTATACTGACAGCTATACTGTCTTCAACACTGTCAATAATACTGACACTGATGTGTGTTAGAAGCAGATCCAATAAACCAGTTGAACTTAAACCA